TCAGGAAAAAAAATGATCAGAATTGATGGCAGTTTTAGGTCCAGTTTTCTTATGGCCCTTCATGTGTCTCCTTGCTGTTTCATTCCCCTCCACCCACAAGCATTACTGATATTATGGTAAATATCACTTTACAATTATGCCTATCTAAAAAACAGGATTAAATAATGCACTTAGACATGAATCTGAAATTTCCACATTATAGCCGAGTCCAGCCCTTTCAGAAAATCCTGCTTTGTAATAAGTTTTGAAATTCTAATCTTAGCTTAGAGATAGGATGACTTTGCAGGCGTCCAGAGATGTCATGCACTTAGAGTGAGGCTTCCACAGACACACAAAGCTGATAAGCCATATTCGGATAGTGTGGGTGAACTCTTCCCTACATGAGCTGGCAGGACATCCATCAAACATGAAAGAGCAGAAACTGCAAACTAAGGGCATCTGTTACCCTGAAACAGCTCCTTTTCCCCCACTGTTTCATGCAAGAGCAGCAGGACAAAAATAGTTTTTATCAGCAGAATACATGTAACTAGTCCCCCTCGTCCAATGTAAGTTGTATAGTGAAGTTTGTTCATTACATGCCTTTTCCTGGAGTTTATCCTTGGGCTCTGGGAAGAGCAACCCCAGTTTGGGATTGTTTCCTTGCTTCCCCTGCCATAATTTATGAGGAGGCTGTAAATCAGTTTTTATAGGTAGGTTGAACATGGTTACAGTGAGCCTCTAGCTGTGTTCCTAGAGTGTGGTGTCCCTTAGGTGCTTCCCCTCTCTAGCTCGCTGGCTTTTCCAGGATTAAATTGAGATTGTGCCAGTGACAGAAGGGAGATGCCATGTCTCACCTTCAGATCTTATCACACAATATCTGGCAACTTCAAGTCCTCAAATCTCAGATGCTCTGATGGGACCTGAGGAAGTAGATGGCCCCAAATCTGAATGATTCAGCCATGAAAATCTGCAGTACTCAGAGATTCTTAGATTCCCACCTTCCTGCCTCTGATGGAGAAGTCTAATGGTCATATTGCTGAAAGAGTAAGAGCCTAATGTGGCTGGTAGAATAAAAACACATATAACCATTAAATATGGAAGAATATGCTGCCTTGGGGCGTCTGTAGCTGTGATCCTGAAGGGTGGTGGTTCTGGACCATGTCATTTACACGAAGCTGCATTAGTTCCTTAGTTACATGGTTAAATATTTTACTGCACACTGAAGTGATATTTATGGATATAGCCTGAAAATCCTGAAATAAATTAAAGGGAGAGTTAAGAAATGTCATGGGAGTAGCTATGAGGAACTCTTCTGGGCAGTCCTAGCTGGGGCTGTTCATTACTTACTTATACCTTTAATCCAAAGGTTGTATAACCATGTAATGTATTTAGGTATAAAGCAGACTAATATACATACATGGGAATGAATTGCAGTGGCCACTGAAATGTGCAGTGTGCTGTAGTGAGCTGGATGCTGCATTATTATATAGCAGCTCATGGGATGAAAATCCCCATGTTCCATGAAAATGGAAGGAGGGATCCTGCGCATCATGAGTGACAATTACACCTAATAGAAATTAAAAAGATATTTTAAATAACTACTTGTTTATAGTGTTCAGAATGTGGTTTATTATATTAGAGAAATGAGCAGCTCCTGCCAGGAATGTCTGTTCTGTTTGCATGGGTAGTATCTAGCAGCAGACAAATGCTATCAATAGTGAATAATGAATAGTAGATGTAGTAAATAGATTTTCTAAAAATCTCTCTTCTCATGACAGATTACATTTGGAAGCTTCTTGGCTTCATTCAAGCCAATACTTTAAGCTGTCCTGCCAAAACAAAACAGCATCAGCAAGTTGCTAATTTGTACAACTCAGCGAACTTCTGCCTCATGACAATTATTTTCATCATTTGAATACCTGGTAGTTTTTCCCCACAGTTCTGCACAGAGGTCAATTCTAGTGGAGAAAAAACAGAGCAGTAAAAAAAACAATGTGGAAATGATTGGGATGTTTGCATGGCAACTAATAATTTGATTTATAGTTTTGTTTTCAGACTTTTCTTAATAGTCTCTTAGTTTTGCCTCTGAAAGGATTTATTTTCCAAAGAAACTAAGGAGTTCTTCACATGCCACCATGGAATTAATATCAGAGAATTTACATAACATATTTCAATTTTAAATAAGGCTTTTAAAAGATGCTACTTGAGGCTGCAAATATGCTGAGTTAATTTTTGCTTTTAATCACATTTAGTGGGAGAATCATCGCTCCAGAGAGGTTTTTATAAGTGGCACCGTGGTTTCAGTGGGTATTTCAGAGTTGATTTCAACTGGCAGTATCACACTGGGGACAGGGGATTATAGTGCTTCCAAGGGGAATATCCTACAACTTCTGACACTAGATAATGGAAACATGATAATGAAAACATGGCCCCTGTTCACAGCTTTTTGTATAAAGGTAGCTGTTGACTCAACTGCATTATATCTCCATTTATTTTTTTTTTATAAAATTCCTATGAGCATTTGTGTAAAATGCTTATGTGACATTTCCTTCAGCTTTTCATGATGCATTAACACAATTGCCTGTGAATGCATTGGCATCTTTACACAATAAAGCACAACAGTCCATTGCTTTGGGTAGCAAAAAGAACACAATAAATTACATTAAACAACTTATTGTTCAAACAGCTTTCACTACTTGACCACATTTGAAATTAGATTTCTATTTTAAGGGAACACAATTCAATACTATTGCTTTTTGCAGAGGTTTTATATATAATGAGATGCAAACTTCTTTGGGCTATATGCCTGTTGGTACTCACTGAGTTCCAAGGAGGTGTATGAATTTATAGCAGAGGTGTTCTGCTATAACAAAGCTAAAAGAGGCTTGTCCAAGTGCTTGAGAAGCGTTGGAGAATATATTCTTTCAGCTGAATTATACATTTTGGAAAAGCAGGCACACTCTTGCAAATAAAGAGCTTTTTCAGGAACTTAAAAACACGTATGATACCTCTTGTGTGTATCACTTGGCCTAACAAAGCAGAGATCTCTCCCTGCAGACTTTGCCTTGCTTATGCCCCTGGCTTAACAGAGCTACCCCAGACTGCTCAGGGGAAGTTCCAATGTTTCCTAGCACGATTAAGTTTGGGCTCAGTAAGGGTTGTGTGGGATATTTCTAGTTTAGAAGAAGCAGGGATGAGCTGTTATGAGCTATGATGAGTTTGATGAAAGGCCACATACAGAAAGGGAGCAGTCTGATCTGTGCCAGCCCTTAGACCCGGCTCAAGGAGTGGGAAGGACACCCACCAGTTGTAAGGCAAAGGTTAAGAAGCACTGTTGTGACTCGACAAGAAGTTGCACAGTCAATTTCTGTACTTAAAGGGGACCTGCAGGAAAGATGGGAAGGGACTTTGTGAGGAAGTCCAGTGGTAGGAGGAGGGGGAATGGATTCAAACTGAAAGAATGGAGGTTTAAATTTGGTATCAGGAAGAAATTGTTCCCTGTGAGGGTGGTGAGGCCCTGGCACAGGTTTCCCAGAGAAGCTGTGGCTGCCCCATCCCTGGCAGTGTCCAAGGCCAGGCTGGATGAGGCTCTGAACAACCTGGGATAGTGGAAGGTGTCCCTGCCCATGGCAGGGAGTGAAACAAGAGGAGCTTTAAGGTCTCTCCCAACCCAAACCATTCTGTGATTCTATGATTGGCAACAGGAGATCTACTCCTTCTACTTTGCTGTTTCTCTGCCAGAAACAGTTAACAGAAAAACAATATAGATGGAATGAGAAATAATATTTAGAATCTGTCACAGAGATTATTTTCCTCTGTCCATAGGTAAATTTACACATAGCCAGTGTTCATATTCAAAGCTCCTTTGCAAAAGGAAGAACTTCATAGTGCTTCTCACACCTGTAATGGCTCTGAGACAAACCTAAGAGAAAATAGGTGCTAATTATTGGCCTCTCTTAAGTATTATAAGACACAGTCCCAGGCCCGAGGCAACCTTTTAATGCAGTGGGAACAGGGATCTCATTTAACTGGCTGGCACCACTTAAGATAAATAAGGATTGCCTTGTCATCAAAAACACACAGATCAACACAACTTTTTGTACTTCATCTTTATACCCAGTCTGACAGCAGGGAATCCAATTATCTTTTCACTGAAGACAAATTAAATCAAGAATAATTTTGGCCTTCTGGCTGTGAAATTTGGATAACAATCTGTGCTTCTGCTGCAGGCATCTGCTTTTTAAAAATGTATTTTATTTGAATGACAAAGGTCAGCACAGGGAATTGATCCAGAAAAGAACAAAAATGTTTTCTCAGCAGTAGACAGGGAAATCACAGAAGTACTTCCCCTCATAAAATGTTCAAGACTGAACTCTTTTGTTTAGTTGTGTCACACAGATTTATTTTCAATAATTCAATGAAAATAAAAACTTCCAAAAATCAATTTTAAAAGATAAACCACTGTATCCTTTTTATACAGTGAGACTAAATGTAATCCCAATTTCAATTCCTACAACTGCGCCAAAATTATTGCATTTTTCTGGGAAGGGGGGCAAATGCTTTGCCTTATTTTAATGACACTAAAAATAGACTAAAGTGCACTTAGTGGTCTTCCTAAATGTTGTAGCAGCAGGTGAGTAAGAATCATCTTGAATATTACCAGTGAAGCTGATTTCTCAAGCTGTACCTTTGAAAATATGCCTGTGAAACTCCTTTTGGGAGTTTACTACCCATGGATCAGGCTCTAACCATGTGTGAAAGTCAGGTGCAGGCAACCTTTGCAAAACTGCCTGATGTAAATATGTGTCTAACTTCATCTACTTTCTTGAGGATATAGCAATAATTTGAAAATCACACCTCCTTGCATTAGATCTGATTTAGAGGTAGGCCACAAATGTGTGAAGGAAAATAAATGTTGTCCCCAAATAGAACGTGAAGGACTAAAGACATATAAAACAGTTAGTGGTTTGCTAATTACATGCCATTTCAAGCAGAATATTTTAGTAGACATGAATAAAGGATTGGCTAATATCAAGTTTATAAATTCAGATCAATTTTAATACAAAGTCTTGAGATACTGTACAAAATTCTTCTAAGCCTATCAAAGCATGCATAATCATAGGATGATTTGAATCTTTAATGAAAGTTGGAAGAATGAATATGGATTTAGGAACTGACTGTAGAAATAAACCATTGTTGCACTGAAAATAGTTCTGTCACAACTGAAGTGTGCTCACTAAAGTGAAGCATAGGAAGAATGTCCTTATTCCTGATGAAATTCCTTTCCCTCATTCACTGCCCCTCTGCTACAACTTGGAGAGCAAAGTTTATGGCTTTGGAATGCAGCAGATTGCCCCAAGTGTTATGGGCGTGGATGTTTTTCCTAATTTTTCCCTCTGGGGATAGAATGCATCTGGGGAACCTCTTGCTTCCTTGACAAACTGCACGATTTGATTGCTGGTTCCAGCATAACATATGCAGTTTATAAGATCAGTGCATTCTTTTTCTCCCTTTAAACAATAATAAAGTCAGTAAAAAGTCTGAGGAAAATGCCAAATTCCCAGGAAGTAAAAACTTCTCCCTCTGTGTGCGTGTGTGTGTGTGTGTGTGTGTGTGAAGTTTAATAGCTTAGAAAAAAGTGACATTTTTATTGCTTCAAGGCATACATGTATTGCAATAGGCTTTATTATTTTGGAAGATGGAAGTGTGAAGAAAGAAGCTCTAAAAAACAACACAAAACAAAACAAGTAAAAGTGACATTAGAGTAGAAAATATTTGCATTTCATCTGTTTAAAAAGAAGCTGTTAAAATGCATAGCGTGGCTGTTCACATGTCAGCCCGGACAAAGGAAGCGAAGATGCCATCTTCCTGGGAAAGCAGATTCTCAGGAGTATCATACTCCAGGATGTTCCCTCGCTTCATGACGATGACCAGGTCTGCAGTGAGGATGGTGTGAACCCGGTGCTGCCACGAAGGAAATCAAACAGAGGTTTTCATTTGGATAATTCTCACCAATGGGCCTCATGCAAGGCAAAGCCCATTGGGGAAAGGCTGTCCTTGGTTACAGGGATATTTAGAATAGATCCTTGTACTTTAACCTGAAGAGATCTTCAGTTACTTTACAGCCTCTGCCACCAAGCCTGAAAATACTTAAGCATCAACTTCACTTTTTGCCATTCTGGACAGCACAGCTGTTGGAATAAATCCTATGGCCCCACTGAAACACATCTTACCCCATGGGAAATAGGGATGAGAAGCATCCTGCACTGCCAGGTGGCTTAGCATCCTGCTCTGCTCCTTGTTCTCTGCACCCCAGCAGTCTGCTCTCCATCTGTGTCAGGGCTGTTGCCTTCTGTAAATCCCTCTGAGATCTAATTCAAGTTTGCTCCAGGCAACAGTTTAATCCCATAGACTACAGGTTTGAAACCAGTTTAATTTCAAGGCCATATGAACACAGCCAATCAGGTATAGACGGGATGGACTCTTAAAAGTGTGATATTTCACAACACAGGCTGAAAGAGAGATCTCTTCATGGGTTGGATTCCCTTGACATGGTAGTTTCAATGTCAGCTGAATGTCTAAGATTTAGGTATGATCAGCATAAATAGTCATGAAATTAAACAAACCCAGAAGCCACACAAGAAACACCTTCTTGCACTGTCCTCTCAGAAGCTGTGCAGTAGAAAGGAAGCAGAGTGAAAGGAAACTAAAGAGGCAAAAATAACTACCAAAGAGCCAGAAGTCCTGTGAACAGTGTGGACTGAGAGAGTCTACTTGTGAGTCTTCACCAAAGTGGTGAACAGGCCGTCCTCTTTGAGGAGTAAGTTTGAGGCAGTGTCACATTCAACTAGAAAGCCCTCAGAAAGGACTAGGACAATATTGGCGTCCAAGATGTGAGACACACGGTGCTGGAAAAAAGAACAGAAAAACAGGTGGGTGAAGGAAGGATCAGCTGTGAATGAGGAGAGGAAGAAATGAAGCCAGCTCCATAAGGAAAGCTAAATATTAATGTGTGCTTAATGTGTTTCACTTGGGACACTGACTTTGGAAAGGCAAAGCCAAAGAAAAGTAAGATTCCAGACAGAAGGACAATACAACATGGAACTGAAGGACAACAATCTCACCACTAGAATCTTCAGCATTTACACATCCAAGAACCTTGGAGCACATTGTAAATGAGCTGGGTTAAGTGGCTTTCCTGACACAAACTACTTGCTGACAGGCTTGAAACCAGATTCCAGGAGGCCTGACTGTAATTTCTAACCACAGGACTGGATTCCAGACACAGCAAATGAAACAGCTGTTGAAACATGTATTTATCTCGTGGAGAAAATCTCTGTTTGTTGACTAATGCTGCTGTCACAGGTGGAAATATTCTTAATGGCATCCACCATGTGTCTGTGCATGTGTATGTATGGATATATGGAACATTTGGTCACTAGAAGTGGCAAGAAAATGGAAAAGAACATCATAAGCCCCTAGTTGAAAAGATATTGTTTTGGGGGAAATTCCCATTGATTCCAGTTTTTAAACTTCCCTTTATGTAAACCCAGCTTTTTATTCCAAAAGAGAGAAAGAGAACCCAACTTGAGAAACCATGCCAAGGATATTATGAAATCTCAACTCATGAATTTGTGCCATGTTTGTAGGCATTACACGTACACAGCCTTCAGAGGCAAAATTCAAACCTAGATTTTGATGCAACTTTCAGTAATGGTTCAAACTATGCATTTGGTTTCAATTTTTTAGGGAGAATGACTTCAGAAATTCCCTGTAAAGTCTTGTTTCAGATCCAAGTGTTTTAGTTTGATAGCAAGATTTGCATTTACTGCAAATCTTCAGGTTGATTGTAAGTGTCTGGCTTGTTCTGGTATCATGGGAATATTCTGGCCTCATGGTTTAGTTCTATTTTGTGATGCTTTTAGTTTTATGTAATGGTGTTTAACTGGTGAAGGGCAAGGTTAACTGCCTGAGGAATGAGTAAAAAAGAGCTTTTTCTGGCTTAATACTTACCGCTATTGTTACAACAGTGCGGTCGGCAAAGGCAGTCATCACAACCTTCTGCAAGATGTTTTCCTGTGAGAGGAAAAGGCTCACTCCAGTTACTTCATCCTGTTACATTCTAATTCACACTTTTTCAAGCATATTCCACACTATCTTTTTCCCAGCAAGGAAATGTCACACCTGTGAAATGTCACACCTGGGGTTCTCTAAAGCTTTTCATTTTATCCCGAGAGAAACAAAATCACTGTCATCTTTTTCTGCTACAGAGATCTCACAGCTTTGTGGCTGACACTTAGGGAAGATGCCTTTCTCCTGGTAGATCCTTAATCAGCTAATTGCTGTACTCACTGTGGCCATGTCAATAGATGCTGTGGCTTCATCCATGATGAGGATGCTGCTCTTGCGGACAAAGGCTCGGGCCAGACAGAAGAGCTGCCTTTGCCCCACACTGAAGTTTTCCCCTCCTTCTGTGACCGTGGCATCTGTAAAAAAACCAGTTCCTGTGAACATTGCATCCCTGACATGCTGCCCCTGAGAGCTCTGCTTGTGCACTACTCCAGGGCCAAGCAAAATCCCCATAAAAGCCAATGACCATAACCTTGACTGACCAGTGGGATGGAGGGATACCAAAAAAAATGAGCACAGCCTCTTGGGAAAGGAGAAATACATCACTAAACAAACAGTTGGCACAAATTGTTAGGAAATCTAGTAGGATGCAGAGTAATATCTTAGTAATATGAAGTATACTTGACATGGAAATAAATATGTAAGTTTCCTTCATGAAATGGATCTGAAGTGGTAAGAAAAATGCTCTGTCAGTGTTTACAGCCCTGCTAGCAGAGCTGGCTTCTGCTAAAGGAGGTAAAATTGTTCTTTTTTCTTCTTATTAATTATCCCACTATGATCATAGAATCATAGAATATCCTGAGTTGGAAGGAGCCCACAAAGATCATAAAAATCCAGCTCCTGGCCCTGCACAGGACAGCCCCAAGAATCCCACCATGACGCTGAGGTGTTGCAGGATTTTTCCACAGTGCATGGGAAACCAGACTATTCTTCATCTTTTTAATAAGAATATTCTCTCTAGTATGAAGAGAGACTCTTCATTATGTGCCTGTCACTCCTACATGATGATCCAGGGTGTCAGATGGGATGGATCTGTTTATCTGTGTGCATGCATGATTCCATTATTGGCCCATGATCCCAGAGATTGGTTCAGACATACCAAGGCCTCCTGGCAATGACTTGACCATGTTCTTCAACTGAGCAATCTCCAGAGCTTCCCAGAGTCTGTCATCAGTGCACTTGCACTCAGGATCCAAATTAAAGCTGCAAAGAAAACCATAACAGGAGTCTTGTTACTGCAATTACTTTGAGGTTTCTGAAAATTAACACCTTGGCACTGTGTGTCATTCGGCAGGCTGTGCTGATGGATTGGACTGAGCTAGGAAGGTTCCTTGCTGTAATGGTGGAGGAGTTTTTACTACTTAATTAGTGGCTTGGTTTGGGTTTTTTTGTTTGTTTGTTTGTTTTGTTTGTTTGTTTTTGTTTTTACTTAGAGCTAGGATTAAAAAATACACGAAGGAAATGGATTTTTTTGGGTTCAAGCTTGGTTGTTTATGAAATCTTATCAAAAGTACAAAGTTTAGCAACACTTCTAGCCACTAGCTAGAAGCGAGCAAAATGGAGATGAGTCTAGCTAGCTACAAGGCCTCTTAAAGCTAAACAGTTTAATAGAGAAATAACACCTATATTATTTATACTTTTCATCTAATAATTAAATTTCTGTGACCTTCAGTGCTGCACTAACTGTTCAATCAGAAACTATTACTTGAAATTACGAAGAAGGAAGATGAGCACCAAAAAAGATACTATTTAAAATCTTCCATCTTCTTCATCTATTACTATATTATAAAAACCTTAAATTTAAAACCCTTCACTATGTGAAAACATATGTGAACATATGAAAACTATGTGAAACTTCTATTTAACTACAAACCCGTGATTTTAACTTCATCATTTAAATTTGGAAGCTTCCTCTAAGGCTTTAGGTCAAAAGCAGTGTTTTTGAGGGGATTAGTGTTAGAAAGCACAGAAAACTCAAAAATACCAGGTTTCTGGGATTCAACACCTTGCCTTTTCCATCCTCTCCTGTCCCACAGCTCCCATGACAGGCAGGTTGTGCAATGCTGCCTGTCACCCCCTGATGGCATTCACCTACCGGATGGAGCCACTGAACAGGATCGGGTCCTGGAGAATGATGGAGAGCCGGGAGCGGAGCGTGTGCAGCGGCAGTTTGCTGATGTCTATCCCATCAATCACTATCCTCCCTGTGTCAAACAACAGAACACGTCAGGGAATTGCACAAAGCACGTCATCCACCGGTAGCAGGTGGGAAAGTGGAACAGCCCCTCTGGGTTGGTCTCTGGATGATGGGACACTGTCTCTGTGAGCTCTCAGCACTGTCAGACACATGGGGAAGGTGACTGTATCTAATAACACAAGCCAGGGATGTCCCAGCTTATCAGTGACACTGCCACCTTGCTCTTTTCCTTCCACTCCACCCTCCCTTAAAGGAAATTACATGTCTTCTCTTCTATGTGATTAATGATAGCACCAGAAGGATCATTTATTATGGGTCAATCACAACCAAACAGAGCAAGAACAAGAGCAACTTATGTTGCTGTGCCTTTCTTTCTTCCCCTTGAATTCAACAGTTTCTGAAGATATTTCCTCTGAGAAGGGACACAATTTCTTTTGCATAATAGATGCATGTATATGGGGGATTAGAGGTTACAGCAAAGGAATGGGCCAGGGCAAACTGGATGAGGATATGGTAAGGGCTATTTCCATCAGGTATTTCTGCAGTTTTCATGTGGATTGCTTCACTAGGGAGCTGCACTCCTCCCTGGAATGAACCTAACATTAATTTCATCAGTTCTCTCTCCCAACAGTGAGAACTTAACCTTGAACTGGCAGGCACATGAATATTCAGAGCTTTGTACATGTGATCATGTCATTCCTTCTGTCATTCCTATTGTCATGATACTGCATTTTGTAGGTTGTTCTCTGTGACCCTGTTCCAGTGGAAGATTTCCCCCTAGCTGGACTACTTCTATTATTGTAGTTTTATGCTTTAATTATATGGCCAGAAGAATCAAGATTTTATCTGTAAGGTGCAAAGTCCAATTATTTTCACACTTCAAGAAATTCCAAATCAGGTTATGGGACTTTTGGTTGAGACATTGGTGGTTGCATAAACTTAAACAATTCCTTTTCTTCATAAACAAGGACATTAGAGTGGGTTAGCAGAAGATGGGGTAGAATAAGGAGGGAAAAATTAATATGGCATGCCTGGGGAATAGGGAAATGCATATTTGATGGAAGCCAGGGTGCTCAAGGAAAAGAGAAGATGAGAGGACCTAAAAGATAAAGTAAGTTTGAGAGGAGTTGGGAAACTGGGAAAGGATTGAGGGGTGATCAAGTAAGACACAAGAGAAATGAGAAGTTGTTTGAACAGAGAGCAAGAGAAGGGAAACACTAAAGAACAAAGCAAAAGGAGAGAAATAAAATGCGACTGATACAAATTTAAGGCAATAACGAAGACATACGGAACAACATGAATGAAATTTTGGCTGTAGTAAAGTTATTCAAAACCTTATTATGTAATTTTATTAGTCAGGACCCCACCAAGAAGTGGATCAGCACAGAGACCAAATATGGGTACAGCTGGGAGAGGGATGTGCACAAAGAATAAACAGAGCTTGATTAGACATTCCCATTAGGAAAAATCAGGGATACAGGAGAAGCAGACAAAGAAAATATACAGAAAGAAGACTTAAGTAGAAGGAAATGTCAAGCTGGACATAAGCATGGTTACTATTTCTTTGCAATATTTTTATATCCAGGAATCATGGTCATGAATCAGAAGCCTGTGACCATAGACACATATAGGCACAGAACCACAACAAAAGCAAACATTAGCTGCATCAGATTCACTTATCCTCCCACTTCCTATTAGGCTTTCCCTGGCAAACATTCAATGCACAATGGCTAAAGTAGAAATGTGGAAGTCTTTGAAACAAGAAGATGGCTTTCTAGTGGTTTTCTATATCCCCTCAACAGCACACATGTATCTGTATTGTAAATGTTGAAAAGCAGTTCATACCAATTAGCAGGGACAGTTAAATGCTGCAGGAGTAAAAACATAGCAACATTTTTCCAACTCTTAAGTCAGATTCTGCTGCAGTTGTGGGAAAGCACAACAAAATTTTAAAAAATCAAGGGAATGGACTTGTTGAGTTCTAGTTTCTACTCTGCTAATATTTTGACAGCTATAATAAGTTAATGCAATTATTCTTTAGGGAAACATTTAGACACTCCAGAGAGTTACTTTTTTTTTTGTCCTGTCTCAAAAATTGCATATTGTTTTGTCAGACGATAGGCAAATTTAAAAAAATAATTAGAAATATAATCTGTGCACAACATTTCCTGGAAGAACCAAGTGGTATTCACAATAGGGCACTTTGTACTTTGAAGGACCAGGTATAACACTTCTAATCAAATATCTTCTGAGCCAGAAAACCAGGTTATAAACTATCAAAAAGGCTTCTTGCTTCTTCTGAGGAAATAAGAGGGGAGCAGATGAGGAGTGACAGCATATTCCAGGGAAAACTGACCATCAAAAATATCCACCATTCTGAAGAACGCCAAGGACAGAGAGGATTTGCCACTGCCTGTGCGACCACAGATCCCAACCTGCAAAAAATGGAGGATGTCACTTACTCACAGAGTACTCTCTTACTCACTTACTCTTTAGTCCTTACTCACACCTGCAGTTCTTTTGGGAAAGATGCACTGGATTGTGCTACTGGTGAGTAGAAAGGTCCTTCCCAATGGCAGGTGGCACACCAGGGAAAACACAAAACAGCACAGCGAGCACACTCCCCTTTTCTGGCCCTCATCATGAGGACTTATCCTGGGAGTATTTTAGCATTTTGGCCTGGATGCCAATGACACTCTATGCTGAAATGTGAGATACTCTTGTTTTTACTCAGTTCAGTCTGGTGTCCCTCTAATTTATCTGCCATCTAGGCTCACTCTTATGCAAGGAAGATGAACTTGGAAAGACACGAGACATTCAGAAGAAAAACTGATCCAAATCAATAAGCTTTTATAAGTGTAAATTCTTGATCTGTGCCCAGAGACCTCAGAGAGGACTGTAAATGCATATATCTGCCACTGCAAGTTGTTAATCTTGTTCTTCTGCCACTTTAGAAAGGAAAACACAGTAACCAAGGATCTGCACCAAAATGAGGATGATGTGCAATTGCTTGACATGGTACCTTTTGTCCTGGTTTGATATAGGCCTTCACATGCTTCAGAACAGGCTTCAGGTTGTTTTCATAGCGAACACACAAGTTCTCAATCTTGATTTCCCCCTCCTGAGGCCAGTCTTTGGGGACTTGAGAGGGATCTGAAATAGTTACAGAAAAACAAACTGAAATGAGTGCTGCCAGAGGATCACCCTTTACAAGAGTCCCCTTTCCCCCTCTCTCTTGCCTGGGCACCTTCCTTTAAGCCACTGGAGAAATGGAACTCCAGTTCCCTGCCAAGTGAGCTGGGAACTGCCTGGCAGGCATTTGGCTTCCAGATCTCCACACACAGGGAGAGAGGGCAGATACCAAAGCCTCTCTTGGCACTGGAACAGGGAGAAGCCGCAGGAGCGGAGAACGCGGTGTCAGGGCAGGGTTAGCACAGCCTCGGGTCAGTGGCCAGCACAGGAAGGGCAGCTTGAAGAAGGAGGTTGTTACTGCCACAAAGTGTGAGCTGTTGACATTATCACAGCTCGTGTCTCATCCTGATTTGCAAACACACAGCAGGTTTTGTCTCTGGACTAAGGAGCTTGGCTTTCCAGGGAAGCTTCTTGACCTACAAGCATTTTCTTGCACTTCAACCACTTCTAAAGTAGCAATTAAGGCCAATTTGAAGTGTGTGGAGCACAAATTCCAATGTGTAGCTCAGAGAAGAGTTGCTGAGGTCTGCTTGCCAATGTGGGCCTATCTTTAGTCCACATCTGCTAGAAAGAGCAGAGATTTTGAAGCATGGGACATTTCTAATTTTTATACTTATTTTTGTTTTCTAAATAACTTAGATGGATGTTTTTTCATCTCGTCTATAACTGTGGTATTTTTTGATGTACTACAGGGTCCTGCTCTGTCTCCCTGGCATTTGATAGGATTTTTTTTCATGTTGACTAACATGAGCAACATATTTTCATAGCTTCTTTTAACTATCCTTGTCATTCACACCAGTGGCAGTTTCTACACCTCAGTGAGAACAGATTTTGGCCAGAGAGGTGTGTACATTTTGCATGACCAAGTCTACCATTCTTTCACATTACCATGTAAAACCCCAAAAAGATTAAAGAGCAATACCCAGGTAGCCTTCGTAGTTTTCTGACTCCATGTTCAGAAAGCTGTGTACTTTTTTCACTGCACCCATCTGCACTTCCAGATCAGCCAGATTCCTCACTACCCAGTTCAGGTAGTTGGTTATCTGCATCACAATATGAAAACAAGGACAGAGTTCAGTCTTCTTTCTATTCATCTACCCTTTATATACAAATAAATAAATAAATAAATAAATAAATAAAGGTTGAATACATTCATGAAAATCCTTGGCCTGACTCAGCCCAGGGTATCTCTTTTTAGCATTACAACAGTTCAAGACTCAGTGCAACAGCATCAAATCCATAAGAAGCCAGTCATACTCCAATACAATTAGCCCTAAGACAGCAGTTTGGTGCTTGGTATTCTCATCCTTGTTTTTTGAAGAAATATGGAAAAATTGTACCTAAACTCTGACTGATTGAGGGAATCTCTTGTTTTCAGCATCTAATAATCAGTGCTGAAAGATGTCTTCTTTAAGCAGACAAACACAGAAAAGAACCAAAATTGAAAGTGCTGCTTGGAAATATTTTCTATTATGTATATTCTAAGCTTTCATAGACTACAACTAAAGATTAAGAAAGTTCATTATTTGCAAATATATTGAAAAGATTTTATGATAATTTCTTTTCTGCATATTTAGATAATCCATTTCTCTCTGTGGAAATACAAGAAGTTTTTAGCATAGAAATATATGAGGCAAAAAATGTGTTATCAGTTCAGCAATATTTCCTTCCTGGGTTTTATTATCATTTGTAATGAAAAGGATTTCATCAGCAGATAAATCAATAGTAAGGGTATTACTTTCAATAGATAATTGTTAGTAGTTCTCTAACAATATTCAGTAGCTTAGACAAACTCTTTTCTAGGCAGGACTTATTAAGGCTGAAAATTGTAAATCTGTTTCCTAAGTCGATATTTAGGTGCTTCTGTAAAAAAAGAAGAACTGATCTTATTAGGAATAGTTCATTGCTAAGAACTTTTAAAACTTGAGATATTTTATGTACCTGAATGAAGTTTTAGAAACTTAAAACTAAAAACACCCTATGCAAATCATATTCAGAGAAAGGCTTTGCCATTTATTTTGGTGAATCTCAAATAAGGATTTGATTAAGAATAAATCACCCAGTCTCCCTTCTTTACCATTAACCTAATACTGATGCAATAAGCAAACACAAAATAACTTTCACTGATATTCAGCAAAAATTGTTGTTAATTTAGAGGACTTGGCTACTTGCTTTATCCTTAAGATAGAGTTCCTGATGGGGAATTCTCTCCTCTTTGTTCAGAAACCTGCTTATTTGATGTCCAGCTTTTGAGTTAGGAAGTTAGTGAAATGGGAAAGTTTGCAGATAAGCAAAACACTGTGGAAGTACTGCTTGCAGTGGCAGGCTGCTCTCCTAGATCTGGCATTTTTGGTAACACAGCCTGGTACCCAAAAAGTCTGGCCACTACCTCAGGCTTCATCACAGTTGTGCAAAGGAGTTGGCAGTGTTTATAGAAGAGGGGGGAATAAGCTCAGGATATCCATTGTAAACATAACCTTAGTACAAACAGGTTGCTCTCATCCAGGTCCAAATATCAGCCCTCTCCTAGCTTCAAAGAGTAATTATTTTTAAAAATCAGCTACGTCAGGGGACACAGGTAATGATCCAGCTGCCTTCAAAACTTCATCAGGGTTATTGTGGGGCAGGAGAGAGACAGGTGATCACTTGGTGCCTTACAGCTCTTCTTCACCTGTTGTGCCAGACTTCAGCACATGCCTATTTCACAAGAATGAACTGTTTGCAAACACTGGCTAAAAACAAAGAAACCAAGAATGATGCAGACATCATGGTGCTTCCAGATCCCTGCTAATGAAGCAGCATTACCAGGAATGTTTTCAGAGTGAAGCTGAAGCCCTGGCACTGATTCTCAGTTGTTGACAGATTCTCACACTATTGCAACAGCAGCACAGAGGGGGATCTAAGGTCACCCCAAGGCAGCTGCTGAGGACTTTCTGTTGTAGCTCACCAGCATTTATGTGAAAAGCCACATCTCAAGGTTAGACCCACACCTTTATCCCTTCCTCATACCAGTGCTTCAAAGCAGACAGATTTTTGCCATGCCAGCCATGGTTTCAGAAGTTCTTCCTGCCACTACCATCAACCTGCCTTTGTCCCCACTCTCCTGTGGTGATTGTCATTCACTCTGTGCTCATGATGAACACTCAGCCTCTCTTGCAGCCAGGTACACTAAAATACTGTTCATTCTATTCACTGCTAATGACAGTGGCAAAATGAACCAGCTACTGGACCACCACAACCTTGTCATCCCTAAGTCCATCTCCTCTGCATTCCTACTGCTACCTGGCATGATGAACCATGCCCACAAAGGTCCCAATCCCCAAATCCATTCATAATTGCATGGACAATGTTGGGCATCTCAGTAATTTCCCTCCAAGGGCAAAACTGATAATTCTGTTTCTGTTTCAATTATTTCATTTGGTCTTTGGTTAAAGATTACCGAGATGATAATAATCTGTATTTCCTGGCAGGTTTTGCCACGTAGAGGTGGAATCAGCACTGTGTTGTACAAAACAGAGTGCACAGCAGGTCCTCTTATGCATTTTTAATTTCCCTGCTCTGCTTGGGAGCACGCAGGGCCTGGGAATGATTGTGTTTTTTTAACTGGCTCATAAAACCTGAAGCAAGTCCAAGTTGCCCTGAACTCTCTCAACTTTGGCTCGAGTCCATTATTTGCATGATTCTTTTTTTCAAGATTAAGAAAGCTGGGAGATGACCATGCACACATAAAAATATTATAAAACGAATGTGTTGGTCTGGAAGTTCTTACACTTGGCCTTGGCACGTACCGTCAGAGCGTACAGGAGACCCAGCCCCACGAACCCCGAGTGTGGCCCTTCGGTGATGGAAGTGACAGCAGCAGTCAGGACAATACAAGCACCCAGGTAATCCTGGAATGAGAGACAGGGGGACAAAAAAGGAAAAAAAAATGCAGCAACCAGAATATTTCTTTATCTGTGGAGCAGTTCTGCTTTACCAAGGATTATTTATATAATGACACCTAGCCCTTAATTTTGGCTTGGGTTTTTTCCCTGGAAGAAGTCATGGTTATGATGCCCAACCTGAAATGCCCAAACTCAAAGCAACTTGCTGAACACCAGTCAAACACTAGTAATTGCTACATATTCATTTGGGCTAGGGCATTCCATGGTGGCCACCCCAAAAAGTACAGGGATCAAAGAATCTAATAAGCATACTTTAAAAAATCCTGAGAAGGATATAACAGTGACACCTCCAATTCTCACCACTAAAACAAAACAATTCCACTCTCTCCACTCTCCTTCAGGTTTGCCTTCCAAAAAAGGAAGTATCATAGACTTTACAAAGTCCAGGAAAGTTTTTTGGTAGAATTTATACAGGTCATACACATGTTTTATTGGCAGAAGCTTCACAGGAGCTGGAATCCATTTTCTTGATGTTTACCTCAGGTTTAAAGTATTTGCCACATGTCATTTCATGGAGTCAAGGTGTTGATTAATGGGATATAGTTGGTATTCCCACTGTCCCACTGCTGTCTGCATTACATTTACTTTGGATCATATTTTCCGTTCATTTTGCTCCTCCTGTCTGATAATACCCTGTCAGGTTTCTTTCCTTCCCAGATTTGAAATGAGAGCTGCCTAGTTCATCTGTCTAAAAAAAATGTGTTGATGAGCAGAATATAGACTCAAATTTCAGGGGGAATGGATTCAGACTGACAGAGGAGGGAATTAGATTGGCTATGAGGAAGAAATTCTTCCCTGTGAAGGTGGTGAGGCCCTGGAACAAGTTGTCCAAAGAAGCTGTGGCTGCTTCATCTCTGGAAGGCCAGGCTGGATGGGGCTCTGAGCAGCCTGGGATAGTGGAAGGTGTCCCTGCCCACGGCAGGGGTTGGAACTGGATGGGCTTGAAGGTCCCTCCCAGCTCAAATTATTCTGTGATTCTGGGATTCTGTGACTCACACCTGTGCAGCATAATGGTCTTGAGTTTCCTTCATCAGCTAGGACAGGACTTAAGAGCTGCTATTAAATCCCACAAATTTTTTGGTGATCTTAGTATCTTAGATGAACTATTCCTTGGCAAGACCATATTATTTCTAATGCTCTAATCAGGTGAGGTGTATTTTTGGACCAAATTTATTCTGCATGTAAGCAAGTCTAAGACTGTGAGACATTAACAGGCTTATTCCAGGATTGGCTGTTGCTCTGTTATTTATCTGTCTTAGATTTGGAAGCAATTTCAGCTGATCTTGGATGCTGTAAGAAGCTGAAAGCTTTAAGCACAAGGGAAAGCATTGCCATCATAAAAAATGGAGAATAACTTGGTTGCTCCAACAGGAAAAGAAGGTGAGTATACAGCCTTTGATGTGTGGATTAATCATGCCTGTTGCTATTTATGTCCAGCAGAATCAGGCCACTGCTTTGTTTATTCACTGCTCTTTCTGCTTCAGATGAATAAGGAAATCACAGTTCCTTTGCATGCCTCTTCTTGCCTCTCAGATCAGGAATATCCCTCATAGAGAGCTCCCACAAAACCCAGGAGCCTATTTTACTGTCAGTGGCTGCATTGTGCCCTGCTACCATTTTCTTTGTTCTGCTCTTTTTCCTGATCTCAAACAATAAAACCACAAACAGTATGGCCCTACAAGGGTTTAGCTTACAGCTGTGGGATTAAACCTGCTGCTGGAGAGATACTTCAAAACCTGGAAGATCGGTGTGCCTAAAACAATCCTGGAAGAAGGATGGCACAGTTCACAATGCCACTGAAAAGCCACGTTCTGCCTTGAAAGCTGTTCCTGCTGTGGCAGGTCTGTAGATGCTGCACAGTAGTAGAGAAAGTCTTGTTTGAAGTTATGTAAATGTTTGTTCTTGCACTCCCTTCAGACACTAGACAGCACAGCAGCAGAAGATGAGGCAGATTTGTATTTTCTTACTCCTGGCCAAGAAAGCTGAAAAAACCCTCTGGGTTTAACATAACAATCCTGATCTATTTTAAGGAACTCTGTGTATAATCTCCTTGTGAGATTAATACTCATTATCTTCTCTGCATCAGGCAAAGTCTCTGTTTGCTTCCAAGGTTTCAAAACCGTAGCTGGAACAAAACTGAACGTACCGTCCTGACCTCCAGCCATCTGTTGGCAGCTGACAGAAATAAGTAGGCAATGTTGTTCGTGTCCGTCAGCTCCAGCATACGTTGTTTAAATCTGGCTTCGTGCCTGCCGAGACCAAAGTTGTTACATTACAACACATTACGCACTCACACACAAAAGTGTGAAGCATTAACTCTGCTCTGCCTTCCCTCCCCCCAGCCCAAAACTTTCTGCCCTTCTGTTTTTGCTGAAGTTTGGGTTAAAAGCTCCTCCCTAAGAACGTGTATCTGCTGTCACAGCTCCCCATAGCCGGAGCGACACGTGGAGTGGAGAGGGATTTGACATTTTTGTTGGACTAGGGTTTGGACCAGAGACTGTCCCCCCCAAAGAGATTGCAATGCCAGGGTGCTGGGACAGGTTTTGTCACCCAGAGCTGATCCACTTTTTACAGCTGTGGATTGTAGTCCACTCCTGCCATATGTGAGTGCTGCTGTGGCCCCTCAGCTCCTCCTCTCAGGCCACTAGCAAGGGCAGAGAGTTCACCTGTCAGCTTAAATCTGATTTCAGACGTTACCTGGCCAGCTGCAGGGCTCTTCAATAGGGGTGACATCCCTAAGGTTTCAACTAATATGGATGTAGAATGATCTGCAAATCAAATCTTTCAGCTACTCAGCTCAGCTGTTTTCTCAGCCAGTCACACTTTGCCTAAACAACCAGTAAACTACAATCAGGGACAGCTATAGATCATCTCTAAATTACAGAAAAGAGTGGTGTTACCTCCACTGCCACTTGTTCCTCTCTCCCCCACACAATGCCCACCACATTTAGAAACCAGTGCAAGGATGCCAGACTCCTGAATTGCCAAGGTACACTTTGGGAGAAGAGGGAATGGGGAAGTCTCTATTGGTGCAAATATATTCAATTCATGGTGTCTTGCACAGTCAGAAGGAAACCATTTTGTTTTTCCATATTCTACTGTCTGGTGAATACCTCACTTGATTAAACCAGCAGAACTTCAAGTCAGCAGCTCAGTGTCTGTTTTATCTTTTATTTCAAAGTCTCAGGGTCCTGCTGTGAAGCACCTCTAAGGTCTGTTCTTCAAGGCTTCCTTTTTTTTTTTCCTGCTATTTCCTTCTGATATTTTATTTCCCTCTGCACAGCTTGTAAACATGACAAGCAACCTCCCCAGAACAACTGGTAACAGTAATGATGTGGGGAGGAAGAAGGATGCACTGAGTACTCTGCTCATCTGCTTTCCTGGCAGCAAAACTCCTCCTCTCCTAATGGAAAATCTGACATGCTCAATCTGTGTTTTCATCCACGTTCAGCTCATCTTCTGGGCACTTTCAGACTTCTATCCTGTCAGATGACGAACAGCAAAGGTCACTGAGATTGCTCTCTGATCCAACTGTACTGCTTTGTGGTAAGTTATGTGAGGAGCTGCTCCATTTTATCCTGGAACATGCTGAACCCAAACTGCAGAGAATGACTAACAAGACCATCAGTAAATACGAGCTTGCAGACAATAAATGCAGGAGACTTCAGGTTTGGTGGGCAGTGGAGCACAGGCAGGGAAATGAAATGGCTTCGATTAGCAACAGAAATCCCAAAAAACTCAATTGTTGTGGTGCCTTTGGGCTGCATTTTGCTCTCTGCCATCCAAGCCCACATTGTCTTTTTGTGAGGCAAAAAAAGTTGAACCACTCAGAAAGTGCTAAGCTCCTTCATCTTCCTCAGGAGATAACTCAGGTTATAACCTGAGTTCATAACCTTCCTCAGGTGATGAAAGGCCACTCTGAACCTCTTGAGAAGTATTCAGCATACATCAGCATCAGGCCCTAATGATTACTTCCTGTTTCAATACATCATTCTGTTGATAAAGCTAATTAAAGCATTTCCTGTTGACCACTGGCTCACACCTCTTCAACACAATGTTTTTTCTTGTTCTTCCATAGGCTTACTGCAACACTCTGTGCTAATAGCTGAGGTCCTAAAGCTTAGCTTTACATGAGGAAACAGCCTTTAGCTCATCAAATAGGTGTGGAAATAGCACTGCAGTGGGATCTGCTCTGATTTGGAATTCTGCATAGTGCAGAATGGGTGGAAGGTGCACTTACTGGGAAAAAAACCTCAAGCTGGCACTTTGACAGGTTCATAACCATAATGGAGTGAACATAGGAGCGTTTGGTCTATATTTCATGTAGTCGAGAGAAAATATATGCATGGAAAGCTGGCAAAACTCTCTGGATCTTACAGAATTTTTTTTCAGTTTTGATTAACAAAGGCAGGTTTTACAACATTAAGATCAAATTCTGTTCTGCTGCAGTTTTCTTGGAAAGTCTCTCAAGTTGCACACTGCCTTTCAGATGGAGAGTGCCATAATGATGTCTCCCTGCTTGGGAAGTGGATTAAACACAGAACTGATTCAGGGACACTTGAATATAGCTGGGGTTTTGAAAGGACAGTTCCTCTGCTTGCTTGGCAAAACAGAGCTCCCTGCTGTCCAGGTTACAGGCATGGTTAAAATAGACTCATTAAAGTTTAAATATCATATCCTAAAAATGTAATCATCTTTAATTCAGTGGAACACCAATACATGTGTTACTGAAAATATGCAAAATGTTTAAGAGGCATGGCAAAGCAACAGGAAAAAAAATCTCTATTCTCTTTTTTTGAAATAGCTTAATAAAGTGCTTCAAATTCAACAGTTTGCCCTCAGAAATGCTCCAAGGAAGATGAACAGGCCAGCCTGACCTCAAGCCTCTCTCTAATAATTTGTTTTACAAATTTTACCCGAATGCTCTGATGGTGGTAAGGCCTTCAGCTGTCTCAGAGAAGTGGCACAGCAGAGGGAGCTGGGTGCTGTCATCAAGTTCTTGGAGGTCCCTGGGAGTACAAAAAATAGCAGATGCCCATTACAATGTAAACATTTCTATCTGTAAAAATGTTGCTGCACAGCAGACAAGAACAGACATTTTATGTATTGCATATATTCTTTTCAGGATCATGCAAAATAATATTTCTATAATACAGAGTGGGAATATAACATTCCATTTTTGCCATAGGAGCCTTTGAATTATCTCCCTGCTGCCCTCTCCATCTACTTTTGGTCACTTTACATGTCTATTTGTCCCCCAGGGATAATGACATTATCATGTCTCTCTTTTATTCTTGCAGATTCCAATATATTAATAAAATTAATTTAAATTCAAAACCATCGATTTTAAACTTTATGGCATGTTATTTAGGGTCTGTGTATCAGGAAGTGCATATACTTTATGGTAACAGCTGGCCTAACAAAAAAAGCTGTATTTTCACATAAACCTGGCCTCATTTCCCATATCTGGAAGTACCACAACATAGCAGATCTTCTCTTTGTGCTGTTAACATTGGTTGTAGCAGAGACAGCACTGAAATAATATGAGTGATAAATTTCCCTAATTACTCAGCAATGGCACTTCCAAGACCTGCATGGAGAAACAATATTTAAGTCCAAAAAGTTCCAGTCTTTTAAAAGAGGAACATTATCCAAACCACAGGAAAAAAATTACATCTTTCTGTAACACTCTGCCATTGGCATAGCTGCCAGTTGCACAAACAGAAGAAAGTCCAGATCATTAGAGATTAAAACTTGTTGTCAAAATCCTACGAATTTTGCACACAGTATTAGATAGGCTAGGAGAAACAACTGCTGAATGTTGCTGAATGTTGCAGTGCACAGAACTGAGTTTGCTGCTGATGTTTTGATGATAAATATCTTTCAAATTTATGATGGAAAATACACAGAAGTTTTTGAAAGATGTAATGGAAAATACAACAAAGAGTCAAAGTGCTGCAAGAAATACTGTAAATATTTGCATTTCTAAAAATTAGTGAGGCTTATATGCCTGCAAAGGAGTGCATGCAAGTGAGTTACAAATACTGCCTCAAGCTATTCCTTCATCCTACATTTCCCAAGACTAATTTTTAGGGAAATAAATTGGATGTTTTAATTTTTATTGTCCATCAAAAGAGCACAAGTCACATCTCAAGTGATTTAAAAGAGTTTAACAGAATAATTTGAGAGTGAAAACCGGGTCTCCTGATTTGTCAGCCACCTTGAGATCTGGTATACTGCCACAAACAGCTTCAGTTTGGAGGTTTGGTGGGGCAAGAACAAGGTTTCTGAAAAATCTCAGAGAAGTTAAGCAAATTATTTCAGATTTAAACATTTCTGGTTTGTGAATTCTGATTACAGAGTTTCCTTATAAATAAATCTTCTTGGAAGATTCTGGCTGATAACAAAAGACTAATGGATTGAATTTAAGAAAAAACTTAAATGGCTTGCTGAAGATGTTTTACGAGATTATAGAATTAATTTAGCACCAGAAGTATGACTCTATTTTTGCTGAAAAAAACTGTACTCTTTACACCCAGCCAAACTACCCTGAATATGAAAAGCTGTACAGTAGAAATTACTTCCTGTGGCACTTTTTTCCCCAATATGAAGGAAAAGCCATGATTGATGTTAATCCAGGGAGTTATTTTCTGTTCTTTACTAACCCTCAAATATCAAAGAGGAGTTTTGACTAGATGCAAGCCTATCTGATTAACAAACTTCATGTTCATCTGACTCTGGAGCCAAAAAAATTGATTCAGTTGGTATTGCTTCCCCAGTTACCCCATTTATAGCCAGGTCAGTTGGAAATATTCCCCAGTGCATGTCTCAAATTCATGCCTCAGGATCAAAAGCAGGATGCCACGGCCATTTCCCCCTTTTTTGGCTCCTCACATTCCACCACCGTTTTTATGTACAATATTTCATGGAGGAAACTTTCAGGATGGTTCTTTAATACATACTTGGAAGCAACCCTGAAGTATTTCTGGATGAAATAAAATGCTATGCCCAGGGGCACGAGGGCCACAAGGAACCATGGAGTGGCATAGGAGATCATCCCAATGGCTGACAGGCAGAGCAAGGTGGATCTGGTCAGAGACTCCAGCGTGGGAGGGATGTGCTAGAGAGAAATGAAAAACATCCATGAGGAAAAAAATCCTTGGTAGCACCACTACAAACCTTTTCCTATAGGAAAAGTGGAGTAAAAGTGGAGTAATACTACTATGTACTCATTGATATTCTCCTAATATCAGGAGTCTTTCTGTTTCTGTGGGTCTCATAGCCAAAAGTACAGGGATTAAAAAATGAGTCAGTAGGTTTTTGTTTTCTAAAGGTCAGAGTTTCAAAGATGGGGAAATAGAGGCCATTTCTACCTCATTTATATATCCGGCAAGGAAGAGAAAATTGTTCTTGATATGTCAGACATTTTGAGAAGTAGAATGCCCTGTTTCAGAGTCTCATGATTTTTATTCCATGTTCCCATCAACCTTATATTCAGGATTATTGTTCATCCAAAAATTTTTATGCACAGTCATAGTGAAAGTCCTTCCTCTCCCTGTATACACTAAATTCACATGTGTTGCCAGCCATGGTGGAATATTTATTTGTCACACCTACTCCCATATATTCAAAGTTTTTATTTTCTACTGTGTTTCCTGTTTCAAGCCCAAAATCTGATGTTTTCTTAATCCAGCTCTTCCAACAGAATCAACCAGTCTGCATACGAAGAAATTAAGAGCCCTCACCTCCCACTATGCTTATGTTAATTGTTACATGCCCTCATTACTACAAATGTGTGTACTTTTTACTTCTACTGTCCCTATTATCTTTCCCAGAGCCCGGTTTTGCTATGCCTTTCTCTACTGAATATTTTAGCATATCATCTTATTCAGAATTAACATGAGAATTTGCAAAGTCGGGTTAATAAAACAGAATATATTGATACATCTACCTGATCGATGATATTGGTATCAGCAGAGAAGCGATTTAAAATTAGCCCCAGCGGAGTCATGTCGAAGAACCTGTTGGACAAATTAAAACCAAAAAGTAACCTATAGAGGAATTCCAGTTTTGGATTACAACTCCTGTCAGATAGAACACAGAGCTGTGTACAGCCATTGCTTAAAACCAAGCAATAAATATTAATAACATACCAGATCATCTTATCTCCATCCTGACTGTCTAAATGCTTCTTTTGGCACTTTCTCCCGAAAAAAATTTGTCTTCTCTTCCAAAAACCTGCTGTCTTGAGTCCTGATCTTTCCTCCTTGTTCCATTAGGCTTTAAGATCCCTTCCAAACATCATAGTCTGTTCCTGGGTGCTGCTCAGCCTCCTTCTAATAGGCACCAACCCCAGATGTTTCATGGAAGCACTGTGATAAATTTATTTGTTATTCAGGCATCCTTTTGGCCATCCTGCTGCCTGTGAGACCCTGGGTATTGTGCACAGAAGAAGCCTTGGTGTCCACATGGTTTGATACCTTGGCCATTGCTCAGAGCTGGTGCTGGGTGCCCTGGAGCCTGAACTGCCCTCAGAGCTGTCCTTGACCCCCCAGCCCTGAAGGGGTGCCAGCTTTCTGAAACAGTTCGGCCAGATAACAAACAAGGGCAAAATTTCACATGTTCTCTCATGGAATCTTTTCCCCTGATGGTTATCTCACTAATTATTTTCCTTTTTAGAGGACTTGGAGGAAACAGGTAAAATACAAGAGTATTTTCCTAGGAGTACCCTTGCAGTTACAGAGGACAGGCTTTGACTATGTAGCTTTTCAGGGACATCATTTTTACTGTACCTGATTGGACCAAGGATGATCTTATTGAGGAGATTGTGGTGTAGGTTCTTGGCTGCTGTGAGGCCCATCCATTCCACAGTCAGGGATGTGATGAGGCAAAGGACAATCCCAGCTCCGGAGAGGATGCTGAAGACAGCTACATGATAAGTCTAATGGAATAACAAATACATCAATCCTAGAAATAAACACCCATTTTTTCCTTTCTACTAAGAAGTTCCCAAAATACCTGGTGACCATCAGCTACTATATCATATCTTTTGTATTACATAATTATATATCATCTTTGGGAAATAAAAGGACTATGATGCAGTGATGGATCTGCAATTCATTAAGTCCACATAATTAGAAGTTCTGGCAGTTCTATGATCCCTCACTCTATTCTACTCCTCAAGACCTTGAAATGGTAGCTCTTAGAACTGTGCAGACTATTATGTGGACATATACAAAGGGTTGTTATCCAAGAAACTTAGGGAAACAGAGTAGAGCCTCTCAAGAATTAAGGCATTTGAGAGATGTTGGAAAGTTCCACTTTATTGAGTTCAAGCATCATGAATTTTCCTAAGAGCAAATCCTAAACTGATCTGCCAGGGTTATAGCACATTTAAGCCTTCTGAAAATCTAGCAAGTGGATTGTGGATTCCATTGAGATATTGTACTTGAGTCAAATTTACAGCTATAAGCAGACTGTACTCAAGCAGTACAATTGAAGACTTCCATTTGTATTTTTTTTCTGTCAGGACACTACTTGACAGCCAGTACTTAGGAAAGTGGGGTCACTGACTTAGAAGACCAGTTGTATAAGGCTCCTTACTTTGAAAGGCCAATTATTTTTTTACCCTCAAATATGATTCTGTTTCAGTTTTGAATGGTCAAAAAGATTGATAAAATTTGAGTTGCCTTCTTTTAACACTAAGAATCCATCCATCCTGTATAATAATGTACCTGTCATTTCAATCCAGCTACTTCCAGATGAACAGCAAATAATTACTTTAGAACACGTGTTCTTTCATTTTTCCCCCTGTCAGGCTCCAAGATCTGGCTCACCTTCTCTTTGCTCTTATCCTCATCAGCATTCCTGGCTTCATTTGCATTGTCTATGGATGTCCATGTAGCAAGCCAGTAATCTATGGCCACAATAACTGAGTGTTTCAACAGCTTGGAGAAAATCATCAGAAAGAGCAAGAAAAATCCTCCAGAGGTTAGATATCTCCAGCAGGTTTTCCATGGCATCTTTGTCCTGAGCCTCAAGACAGTTGACATGTTGTCATCTTCATCTTCTTCTTCTTCCTCCTCTGTGACTCAGACATTTGATCAAGTTAGCTTGGATTCAATAATTACTCTACCTTGTTTTACCAGGTTTGTTGGATTCTTTTTTCTTCTGATTTGAATTTAAATTTTAAAGTCAAAATTCAATTTGTCATTTAAAAACAACAAACACTTCAGATATATTTTCATAAGACTTCCCCTGTGCCTCTAAGCAATTCTGTAGTTTGCCAATCTTGTACCAGTTTTATTAAGAAAAATTTTTATAAACCAGGTGTTCACTACTTATTATTTAGAGCAGAGACCAGGCCTTTCCCAACCTGTTCATCATCTTTTATTACACAGTCAGCAAAGCAATTTGGAAGATTTTAGAAAATCCTCCAAACCTTTCCATCCAGACTCTTCATCATCTGTTTGCATGAAAAAGTTCAATTTTCCCTTTAATCAGGAGTGCTAAAATGATAATTGATCACATTCTATTGAAACACAAATGGTGGACTAGTTGTGCTATGGGAAATACATATTTCAGAGGTGTATAAACATGAAATCTAATTTTTTTATCCCAGATAATAACAACATATATCTTGCAGCCCTGCAGGCTGCACTTGAGGAAAGGAAATCTTGACATGCTCTTGACATCTACCTCATTTGTTTTTCTTTACAATTTTTTTCTGTTGTTGTACTTTTATCTCATCTCTCAATAACTTCAGGCACTGTGAGTTAGCAAAGTAATTAATTTGTTTTGATACACCCTTATCTCTGCATGATGTTTAGGGAAATATATAGAGAATCCCTTAAACAAGTCCTATTGTAAACGAGTCAAAATGTTGGACTTTCCACTACTATTACCAAGTGTCATCAATAGAGTCACACTTTGCTGCTAAGAACTGCCAGCTATGAAAGTGGAAAGGCAATGAAAAATGGTATTAAATAAAATGAAATTGTAAAACAAACCTTCATCTTCATCTTCCAGTTGTGACTTGGATTCTCTGGGGTACATGGCCCTTCGAAGGGTCTTTCTCTCAAGAGTTGTCTGGTCAGCTTCCATATCCTGAAATAATTAGGTTATCATTATTATTATTAATTAATAGTAAGTTTTATAAATTTGAGAGATCATTTATTAATTTGAGAGATTAGCTGTTCACCAATTGTAGTAGCACTTGCAATAATCTCCAAGAGACTTTATGTGGATCATTTAACTCACAGAATGGAAAAACACAGTATTTTTCAATTTAAATTTCAAAGAATTCAGCTTTGTCCACTTCTTTCCCTCTCTGCCATTTTTTCCTTCCTTCTCTTCTGGAATGATAAAAGCTTCAAAAATAGACTTTAGAGAATCCTAAATGTTCATGTCAATAACAGAATAAAATGATGAGAGATACCATAGGAAGTTTCTGGGTCCAACTCTTGCCCGACCAAAGGATCAGTTGTGCACCACATTTCCAAGGGTTTCTTGGCTAAGATGTCCTTAGACATGATGGATATACCACACACTTACTGAACAATCTATTCCAGCCCCTAAAACTCCTTATAAGTCATGTTATTTTGCCCTAAATTGTGAAAACTTTTTCACTTGCCCTAAAGCAAGTGAAAACTTGCTTCAGACATGGTTTGGGGTTTTTTTTAATTGAATGACAAATATTTCTTTGCAGAAAAGTAATCCTTGCCCAAATGCTCCTATTTACCTTTTCCAACTCTTGATCTTGGCGATTCATCAGAGTTTTCCAGTGTTCATAGAGCTCAACATCTTTGTTTTGGATATCCTTTAGTGTCCCTTCTCTAAGCACCATTCCATCCTTCATTGCTATGATCTAGGGAAGAAAGCACCCAGCACTCAACAACACAGATACCATGATCACTGACCTGGATCCTACAAAATATGGCTCACCATTAGTGACAATACCATTATGCAAATATCTGTCTTCCTTTTAATCAAGATTTTATTAATAACTTCCTAAGTTTGCTGGCACAGCTCATTAACTGGAACTCGTGGAAGTCATGTTTGCATTAACATATAAAAAGCATTGAAAAGAATGGATAGACATAGTTGCAATTAAATCAAATTCTCCATGCCTTTCAATGAACAAAAACAAAATCTACTTAAATAATGTAAAAATAAAATAGTTCTTCCACCATAAAAACTGTGTTAGTTAAAGTGGCAATTAGCTATGAGGCTAGAATTAAAAGGGACTCTATTGTAGAGAAAAGTAATAATCCCATTAAATGTTATGGTGTTAACTTCAAGTGTACATTTATCCTTAGGAAATTTTCCCCCAGTACTTCTTCTCTTACCCAGTCAGCATGTGGCAGATATTGTAATTTATGTGTCACCAGAACAAGAGTCCTCTTGTCTTCTTGCAGAAACTTCAAAATCCCTTCCTGCATTAAGTGATCACTTAAGTGAATGTCCAGTGCAGAGAATGGGTCATCCTGCAACCACATCAAGTTGAAAAATATTACAAGAGGATACAAAAGTGAGGTTAATTCCTAAAATAGCACTTTTAAAAAAGAAAGCATCTCTCTTTATGATGTTTCATCTCTCTCTAGTGACTAGGACCCAGTCAGTGGGTGCACTCCAGTGAGCTGGAATCCACTGCTCTTCAGTTCACAGCAATGGACTCAGTTTCATTTTTTGTGTCTGACTGTGTCTAGTGCTGGTGCCTCACTGACAGAGTACAGGAACACCAGAACTGAAATATCCATCCAAATTTGAAAATTCCAGGATCCAAAGCCAAACTTGGGTCCAGTTTTGATGTGAAACTGACACAGGAAATTTAAAGCAGAATTAGCAGCTCTTCTCTTTTCTTCCAAACTAAACTACAAATGTGCTTGGAGAGAGCGTGGCTGGAAATAAGGCAACATTCAGATAAGGATATCAATATGCAAACACTTTTTCTTCAAGAAGTCTCTACTTCATTTTGAAGAGGCTCAAACAGCCCCTTCATGAACCTTCTGAAATTCCTAACATGCCTTGAAAGTAATAACCAAGAAGGGAAAGGCTGTCCAACTCCACAGCACTCTGCAGGAGAGTGCTGAGCCCTCAGACTGTCCATTATGGCTCCTTATCAGAAATCCTGCTGATTTCTATGGGACTGTGCTGATAGAAGGTCACCACTCAGAGCAAGGAGAAGTTAAGACAATCTGTTCCACTCTTCCAGTGTTCATCTGTGCAGGAATTCCCACCTTCATCATTCTCCCAGGATGTTTTGATCCTGCCTCTGATGGATGCTTGTTTCCTATCTCTATCATTTGGTTTTGGAGTCGAATACAAGTCCTCATAGGTATTTTAAATATAAACTAAATATATGGAATTACAGTTTTACAATTTTGCATGCTTCTTGTGAAAAAGAAAAGTCTTACCAAGAAGACAATGTTGGTGTTCTGGTAGAGTGCTCGAGCTACACAGATTCTCTGTCGTTGGCCTCCACTTAAATTAATCCCCTAATGATTCAAATGGATCAGAAATAGGCATCCTTGAATAAACATTATGACAGGCCTCTGGAAATGTGATTTTTTACAATTATAGAGTTCCATTAAAAATAAAAAACTTCATTTAAATGCTAATTCTATTGATAAACAAGCATAGTCCTTATATAATATCAGAAAAGTTATTATTCAAGGTAAGTGTAAATTATGAATAGCTGCTCTGAGCACAGTAGGCTTTTTAGATTGAAAAGTGTAAACAATAGTAGCATCAAATTCTGCAAGCAAAAAATGAGAGACTTTGGTTTAAAAATCCCATTTGAGAAATAGCTGAAGAAACAGAAAAGATTTCAACTTTTTTTGTAGTAAACCTTGGTGGATTACAATTATTTACCAGTCTGGCAGCCAAATACAGACTAGAACTGAGTGTCTGAGTGACATCAGGGAGTGTCTTCTTAATACAAAGGCCAAGCAGAGATTAAAGCATTCACATTATTTACCCTTTCTCCAATTTCTGTCTGGTCACCAAATGGCAGTAAGTCAATATCAGGCTGCAGAGAACAGGCATCTGTAACAGCCTTGTACCTGGAAAAACAACGTGGTCATTGCAATTGTTTACTTAGCCACTCACTCTGCTAACACAAAAGCCTCCAGATAGATGTCACCACGAAGTTTTTATTGCTCTGTGATGACTGGATAATTGTAAAAATAAGTAGAGCAAAATGATTATCGATAACTAATCCTGGAGCAGTGTAAATGAAGCATTGTAAAAAATTACATCTTTATTAGAAGCCTTTATTGGCAAGACTACTTTTTAATTATATAAATTATTGAGTATATTCCTCCCTATCAAGGAGTCATTTTGTTGGACTCCATAGTGTTTGAAGCTATTTTCCACTGAGTTTTTATTCTTCCCCCTTTAAGTGTCTCTTCATTTTCTTTGGAGTGATATTACAGGACAAAGGATCCTTACAGTGCTTCCGGTCTTACCAGCAAAGCCCTTGCAAAATTTTGAAATTTTTTTGTGAGATTTCTGAGTCTGTAGCATTTGTTCTGCTGATGAGCAGCTGGGATCAGATTATTTGGGTGATGAAATTCAGCCTTGCCCCTTTGAAGGTAGTGAGACCAGCTGATGGATGCAGTGGCTGAAGAATGTGGTTCCTGAAATTTTGGTGCTTTTCTGGATTTCAAGGCTTTTGGTCATGGTTAGGTTTTATGAAGTCAGAATGGAGTCATACATCTTAACAGCACAGACTGAGAGGAGCAGGGTGTATTTTCAATAACTGAAAACAGAGTGTTGCCTTTGAAAACATACACAATTTGTTTTCCTTAAGTCTAGTCACTTTTCTCACATTTGTTAATTGACTTTTTAGAAGGATGGAAGAAACAGGTGCTGGGTAAGCACAATATAAGCGGTGCATCTCAGCTTTCACACTTCCTTCTCCTTTACTTCTAAAGGAGGAATTAAGGCCATTCCCTCGAGGCACCCCATCTTCATAAATTATGTTTTTGGAAGGTGGCTGCTTCAGTAACTTGATCACAGCAGGATTAGCACATAAACTCAGTGGAAGCATGCCTAGAATCCCTGTTTCCAGAGTCCTCTGGCAATCTTGGGCTCCATTAAACAAAAGAAAAATATGTAAGTAGTCTCCAAAGATGGGATTCATTTCACCTTGGAGATGACACATATGGCTTCAGCTGTATTCCATGGAAAGCCACTGCCACTGTGGGATTTCTCACAAACACCTTAGACACTCCTCTGTTTAGAGGAGCAGCCTAACTTAAACCAGAAATCTTCCTCTGAAGTGAACAAACTCAGGTCAGCTAAATCCACCCCCGGTTTAGCATGCACTGATTGATATTTTCCAGAATCTACAAGCTTCCTTTAGAAGATGCCAGAAAAGATTCTCTAAAAGGAGCTATCCAAGGAGGTGGATATTTACCTCTGCTTATTAAAGGGACTGCCAAAGATGATGTTCTCCTCCACAGTGGCATTGAGCAGCCACGGCTTCTGAGCTGCATAAGCCACGGAGTACCTGTTCCTACTGCAGACAGACACAGAGCTTTAGTAAGAAACAAAGTCCTCACACTATGAAATGCCTGATAATCAGGTTTTTTCAAGTTAATTTCATGAATGAGCATTCAGAAAAATTCAGGGAAACACGTAAGCAAAATGAAGTGAAGAGTTTTAAATTTGATGCTTTTGTTAGAACAGCACCCACTCTCTTCCCTGATGGCAAAATCTACACTTTAGATTATATTCTATTCTACTATAAATGGCTGGTACCTACCTCAGTCTACTAATTGCAATTCAAATCTAAAGGCAAATAAAAATTATACTAAGAAATATTAAATTCTCCTTGGAATAGTTATTTGGCATTATTTTCTCTAACATCAAAACACATAGTGAAAAGGCACTGTTCAAAATGGCATTGGCACACTTGGTTTGCTGCTTTCTGAAGTGTGAGATTATTTTATATGGCCACATATATAAAATACTTTTTTCTCAGTGAATTTTTTTTTCCTTTCAGTTTATTAGATCCTCAATGATATTGGACAAGAAGGCAGTTTAGTACAGATTGGGAAGGAATCACTGTAGACTCCTAGGGATTTAGTAGACATAGTTTAAATGTGTCTAAATGCCTAATGACATTTGTCAGTAGGGGCATGAATGTTTTTTTACTTCTGGCTGTTTTGCCAAGGTACAGCAGCAAAAACAGTCATGTAATTTCAGACATTTTTCTGAGATGCCCAAGGTGATGTGAGGAAGGAGGTGTGAACTGGTACCAGCTCATGCATCTGAACATTTCATCATAGAATCATGGAGTGGTTTGGGTTGGAAGGGACCTTAAAGATCATCTTGTTCCAACCCCTGCCATGGGCAGGGACACCTTCCACTATCCCAGGCTGCTCAGAGCCCCATCCAGCCTGGCCTTGGACACTGCCAGGGATGGGGCAGCCACAGCTTCTCTGGGAAACCTGTGCCAGGGCCTCAACACACAGACAATAAAGAATTTTTTTCTAATCTCCTCTCTGTCAGTGTGAAGCCATTCCCCCTTATCCTGTCACTCCAGGCCCTTGTCAAGAGTCTCTCTCCATCTTTCCTGTAAGCTCCCTACCAGTTCTGGAAGGCCACAATGAGGTTCCTTCTCAGTTTCTTTGATAGTATTGCTTCCAGCAAAACATTTGCTTAGCTTCATTTATAAGCATGTAGGATTTACTACTGAGAGAGGGGGTGCTAAGGCAGGAGAAACAGCTGGTTAGAAGCTGTCAGCAATATCCCAAAACTTCCAGGAGTTTTAGCTGTTCATATGCACTCATATGAAATATGTCCTCAAGCTTATGAGGCAGCAAATCATGGTGTGGCTCCCAACTACAGCTCTGTGTGCCACTACCTCTCTGTCATTTATGACATACTTTTAGTAGAGCTTGTCCTTCTTTTAAACCTGCAGCCAGGGGTGGAGTCCCTGCTTGGCTTCAGCTGGAGCTGAGCTGGCTCCCTCTGTGCACTGCTCCATCCCATCCCAGGTTAAGCACCACGGGGAACCCAGTGCTGGGCAGAAAACTCAAAAACATGTGGGAGGAGACACCTAACGATGCCTCATACCTAGAGATCTTGTCTTGCATGACAAGGAGCACTCTGAACTCCCACTGAGGTCAGATGGGAGCTGAGCATCTTTCAGACAAGACAGAGGTAGTGGTTCACTGGCTGGAGAAGTGTGGGATCCACTGGATTTGCACAGTCTATCCATTAGTCCCACAGTAAACAATTATCAACATGGTAAGGAAAAAATGGAGATGGTTTAAGAGGACAAGGTGAAGATTTGGGGAAATTCTGGAGAAATTAATGAGTGTTTTATGATACACTAAGAAAGAAATAATACCTTCTGGATGCTTCAAAAGAAGGTTCAGTTTCATTTACACTGTAAGTTATGGTAAATGACATTTAGTAAGCAGGAAATAGAAAGAATAACATTTTGTGCTAGTTTTACATACCGTGAACCTGGAGTTAATTACATACTTTAAGAACTCAGCGTAAGTTTGGGGTTTTATGTTCTTGAAGGGAAAACAAACAAGGTCTAAGCAAAACCATAACACTTTTTAAAATGTGACAGTTTCGTATCTACAAGTCATATTGGCTAAACAGGCAAATTATGTTGTTAGAAAATGTATTAAAAATGAAAATTGTATTATAAAACCTATTAAAAATTAAAATATTAATATTGTCTGGCAAGCACTAAGTTAGCTTCTCCACACGCTCTGCCAGTGCCCTACAGAAGCTGGTAACTAATGACAAATTTCCCCTAGAGTAAAGATGAGCTTTGCAGCTACACTGTAGGACCAGAAAGATTTTGAATCTCTTTGTAGCACTAAGGCTGCATAGAGCTGTGCACAGCTCTATGACATGTAGGTTTTCCTTGTCATCCTCTACTTCTTAAGGATCAAGTCCTTAAGAAATACATTCTGAAGAGGATTCAAATGGCAGCAATGACATGAATGGTTTTGCAGCTCCCTTTGTTTCTTAATTGACTCTTTAACAGTGCCAAGAGCCTGGAATGGCAGGCAGTCCAAAAAAGCAGTTTTGGACCAGCAATGATGCTCACTCCAGGCATGGTGATGCATCACTGCAAAGTGCAAAACCTAAAAGAGATGATACCAGGTAAATAGAAACAGGCATTGGAAGGGGGTAGAAAACTCATGCTAAAACATTATTTTCCTGACTTAAAAAAAAAAAAAAGCCATGAACAAACAAATCCTCTTCTCTCAGGCCTATGAACACTCCAGATGAAACACTTTATGCTGAGACAGAAATGACTGCTTGACTGCTGGGATACCAGTACATGCAGCTGCACTCATTAGCAGGATATTCAAGTCTAAAAAGGGCATAAAAATTCTAATAGCAAGCAGAGTCCTTTTAATGCCAGACTCATGTATTTAGCATCTTCCCAAAATGCCAGAACTGAGACATGTTTTTTCTGTGCTGCACATCAGCTATCTGGCTGATTCAGGCCTCCTAAAATGCACAGTCTGTGTTTTCTTCATACATTAATTGCCAGAGAAGGTGCTGCATCAGAGGGATATAAGTCTCAGAAGTGTCAGAGAGCCACACATTGAGGTTCAAACCAGGCAGTTCCTCACTAAAAGTTGGTCTCTCATTCAGCAGAAGCTTCCAGTCTTCTCTACAATGGAAAAAAGTTAGAAAAAGCAAAAGATGGAGTCTAAGGAGAGATTGAAAAGGGGCTGGGAATTAGATGAAGGCAAACAAGAAGAAGAAACCCTAAATTTGCTCTATTCAAGACCCCCAAATTTTTGTAAGGAGAGCAGGACAGCACTGCACTGACTGAGAAAGAGAAAATGCTTTCAGGTGTAAGTTTGGGAGCACCATCTGAACTACAAAAAAACTGGGCACAAGCCTAGCAAGACTCCTTGCAATTCCATGCCAGATGTAATATGCTTGCCATCATAACCAGAGTTTCTCAATGGACAAGGACTAATTTTAGGAGCTCAGTTTCTTAAACCCTTTTTCCTTGGTTAGAAATTTCATTCCCAGCTTAGCTTGACAAATTGACTTTGATTCTCCCAAATTATGAATGAGATTTCTGTGAGAACCCACATTCACCAGAAATCCCATGAATAAACAGAGAAGACCTTTAGTGAGCTGGGACCTTCACAAGCAAGGGGATTAAGTATTTGGTTTTATTCTTTATTACCCTGCTGAATCTGAGTGATGTGATTGCAGAGCATGAGAGTGGGCTGAAATTGAAGCTCTGGAGATTTCTAAAAAGGGTATTTTATTTGCCTGAGGGGATTAGCATTTATTTCCTCTAGTTCATTTATTTATTGAAAGTGGCTATTTATACTGATTTTTAGCTGTACTAAAAAATACACATATTGCCCAAAATGGGGTGTGGCAAATTCAAGTCTGAAATGTTCAGAAGGACTAAACTAATCAGTCATTTTTATAGGATTTTGAATTTATAAGATGAAAAAATCAAGGAAAATAAAGAAAAAAGAAAAAATCAAGGTTTTAAGAAAAAGTAAAAAATACCTCTTGTTGAGGTTTAGACACTTTTGTAGCCACTCATAATGTTTTAAAATAGACTAAAGCATCTCTAGCCAGACCCTGATTCCCTCATCCTACAGAGTAATGAGGGAGGAGAAGAAAGGTGTACAAAATCTCTGGGATAGCCCTGTAACCACAGAATGAACCATTTCCTCTGCTAATATAGGCAGGAAATTGAGGCAAGATGAGGACCAAGCATCTACACAAATTCCATACAGGAATTTAGGCCTGTCCCTACAACCAGAACTGATAGTTCTGGTGGTTTTGGCCACTGCCATTTATGTGGATGATTTTTTATCCCTCCAGTGCTCCTTATGCCCTTCAGTGTTTTCTGTGAGCTCCTCTGCTTGTAATCTTTGGGTGGGCATTGTACTTGGCAATCCTTCTGAGGGGTGCACTGAGTTTTCCTAATATTTGTCACATCCTTTTGGATACTTGAGGATAAAACAGGCCATTTTTGAGGATTTATTTAATAGTTCTTGTGTTCCCTGAGCTTTTCACTGAGTATATAACAAGCTGGTGGCACAGAAACCATTTCAATGTACAAAAAACGACATAAGGGTTCCACTTTGGCCCTCTTGGCTTGGCAGTCTAAGATGGTTCTGTGACTGTTTGGCTTGATGTGCATGAGGAGAATACATGTCTCTGCATGATTCCCACAAATTATTAAGAAATAACTTCATAATAAATAACTCTCATCTGAAACAAACTTGGCGGAATGACTACACCCAGACAGCCCCATGCATCAGTGTCTAACAAGCCTCTCAAGCTGATTGCTCACTGGGAAATCAAAAACCCAGCTCCATGTCTAAGGATGTCACATTTCTGGGCTATGTCTCATCTAAGTGGAAAAAATTGAGACCCAGCCCATAAGATTTGCCCTGGCCAAGATCTTTTACAGAAAGAAATACTGCCATGCTTTACTCCCCTGAGATGCCAAAGCAGTGACAACCTTGGCAGCACAGCTCTCATTTGACACAGCTCTCACTGCAGTCAGCCTCCACAGCAACAGAGTATTTGAATCCCAATGATGCCTTGCATGATTGTCCCAGTACAACTGGGGCTGTAATCTTATGCTTATAATTACTGTGTTGCTACAGCTGAATTTGTAAAGGAATTCCCCTACCCTGCATTTCATCCCTGGATCAGTACCTGTGTTAGTCATGCACGGACAATTACATGGAAAGGGACTTAAAAGTGTAAATAGGACCTTTATTATGGTTTTGCAAAATACAGGAACCACTTGGTTAAATACCTGAAGTATCCTTCTGTATTCATCTGTCTGCCAGGCAGTCTGAAATTACCAGCAAAATATAACCATGTTTGCATCAGCTATATCACAATTAGAGTGTGCAATGAAAAAAATCTGAGGTGTTTGCTAAAACCTGAGTTTCTTGGTGTTGTGGTGATGTACAGACTACTAATCAACTGACAGCATGATTCTATCTCTTGAACAATATTAAACTTTTTTTTTTTTCACAATTCATAATTATGAAACATTTCATAAGCTGTATCTATTATGTTTCTAAGAGTTCTCATTTTTCTAATCTTTTGAAGATTTCCAATTATCTGTATCTAGGAAAAATCTGAGTCTTTCTCAAATACTTCTTTCAAAACAATTGTAAGAATCATTTCAAGGTACATTCTACTTACTCCTTTTTTTCTTTTTTAATTACTGAGAAAAACAATGCCTGATTGTGGTATAAAAACCTTCATTGCATGTCTTAAATAAATTAACTGTGGTAGGTCACATATTCTTCTTCCTTCAAAGCCTAAATTAATATATAATTAAACTAAATTTAGTGTAGCCTTGGCTTCAACTGTACCTGCTACTCCAGTGAGATCATGTGTTTAGAATAGCAGAAAGTGAAGTATAGCTAGAGAGCAAAAATGCCATGGATACTATCACAGGAAAAGCAAAAACCATCCAGTTTACAACATTGCTGTAAGAAAAATATGACAAATGAGGTTACTAATCAAGAGATGGGGCAACAAAATATTGGTCTCTATGACAAAATTTCCTCTTTTCTCAGCAGAAAGATAATTGAGAGGAGTTTGGCTTGGTAGTTTTAAAGAAACAGAACTGATCTTTAAAACCAAAGAACAAGTCTGGGAGTTACAGCACATCCTTGTCTCTGTCCTGCCTAGGCTTGAAGAGTGCTTGCTGCCCCACTCTAGTTTCTGTGGGAAGTTCTCATTCACTGGTTCTGAATCCAAGGCCTGGATTCATGGGCAGTTCTCCTTCCAGAAAAATCTTATTCCCAGCCATTACTTTTAAGGTGTTTGGTGTGCTCAGGCTGCTTTTTGAGTGTATTACTGTGAAGAGTGACACTGTTCCATAGGTGAGGCTTGGGTAGGTACCAGGGAAGGAAAAAAGCATTGCTCACATGTAATTACATTTTTTTTTTTTTCTGCCAGAAGTAGCAGCAGCTCTGAGTGGAAGTACAACTTTTCCTTTAGGCTGGCACCCCACACATCCCACAGGGCTGGAGAAGCTCCACACTTTCACTGGTGGGTACAGGAACAACATGACAATGCTGACTTCAATGATAGTCAGTACTGAAGCCTATTTGATAAAAGGAATAGCCTATGCTTTCTATCCAGGTCATTTGCTAGGCCAGTATATTAGATATTAATCACCAGACCAGCCTCTTTTCCTTCCTGGGGCACCCTGCTCTGCCTGCTCTGAAAGTGACAAAACAGTGAAAATTCCTGAGTTTGCAGGTGATGCATTCCAGGGAGGATCTGGGTGGTGCTAATCTCTCAGCATGCAGTTCTGAGTTCATGAAGTTTACATTTCTCACATCAAATCTCAACCTCCTCCTTAAATGAACACAGAAATTAATAGCTATATAAACATACTTGCTCCAGTGAACTTTTCCCTCCAGGGTCTGCATCTCTCCCAATATAGCAAGGAGAAGTGAAGACTTGCCACAGCCAACTTGGCCCACAATCATTGTCATCTGACCTATGGTAATAGTAAAAACAACAAATCACTCTTTAAAAAGAGGAAAAGAAACAATTATACTCTAGTTCACAAGACCCAGCTAGATTCAGCTCTAGAGCATTTGAACAGATTGAATAATTGTTTTAGCATCCACTACATAAATGGGCAGTATTGCATGTATTCATCTATGGAAGCATTAATGGATTGCAGTAACACACTACACACTAATCTCCAAAGGAATGAGACTGTTGCTCTTACCTATATTAACATTTGTTTCATGGGGCTGTGTTCCTCTATGAAAGTTATTTGGGGTTAAACAATATATGGTGGGGAGTGATTATTCAGCCTTGAGTTCCATGAAAATTTGGACCAATCTAATAGATGAACTGAAATGAATTTGGGCCAGTCTAATAAATGAACTGAAAGAAGACCCATTACTCTTCTCTGCTTTGCTGTACTTCTCCTTCACCTCCCCCCTCCACCCCCTCGACACTTTTCTACCTCCAGTCCTCCTCTGGAGTGACAACAGTGCTTCTCAGATCTTCCCATAAACTGATTGAACTCACTAATTGTGCTGGCCAATGCTTTTCATAGACTCACAGAATGTTTGTGTTGGAAGGGGCCTTAGAGATCACCTCATTCTATCCCCCTGCCATGGGCAGGGACACCTTCCACTGTCCCAGCTTGCTCAGAGCCCCATCCAGCCTGGCCTTGGACACTGCCAGGGATGGGGCAGCCACAGCTTCTCTGGGAAACCTGTGCCAGGGCCTCAGCACCCTCACAGGGAAGAATTTCTTTCCTCATATCCAATCTAAACCTTTTCTCTGTCAGTTTGAAGCCATTCCCCCTTTTCCTGTCACTCCAGGCCCTTGTCAAGAGTCTCTCTCTCCATCTTTCCTGTAGCCCCCCTTTAGGTATTGGAAATTTTCCAGTTAAGCTTCTCTCCAGCTGGGAAGCCAAGGGTTTTATTCCTTACAAAGGAGGCAAACTCTGGCCCATCCAGCCTGGGAACCCATGGCCTCAGACTGTAAACTCCTTGGAGCAAAGGCATTCTGCTGGTGACACTTAATGCTACATGGAAACAAATCATACAAGCTTGGGGATTACTAAATAACCATGTGACAGCAACCTAAAGTAATACTCTATTTTAAACCAAAGCCCTTGATATGAGATCAAGATAAAGCATAAGACTATTTAATAACATGAAATGCTAGCAGACAATGTTATGAATATGGCAGCATTATCAATAAAACAAACAAAAAAAATTATTTAAATTATTTATAGGAGTTTCTACTTTTCACACTTGCTATACAAGTATTCCAAAACAAGCCAGCATTTTGTAAACCTGTGGAATCTCTAGCCAAAGACACTGAGGATGCAAGGAATTACAACTCTTTTTGATAAAGAGGAATTCATTGAGAGACAAAATAATTAAGGATTTCTTGAGAGAAAAGCTTCGTTTTCTGAATGAAAATAGTTGTGTACTGGGAGACTGTAATGTTGGTAAATGGCAGGAAAAGTATAATACATGAGTGTTGCTGAAAATAACATACTGAGTTAGATGGACCCTTGGTTTCAATGAGTCTGGAGTTCTACCTCTTTATTTTTTTCAATTTCTCTGTTAAAATAATAATGACAATTTTTCAATCATTTTTCATGTTTATTCTAACTCATGACTTAGTTTGTGCTGTTATAGAACTATATAAACTATATAGATATATAAAAGCCAGATAATTAATCTAATGACATTACTATATGAACAACACAGCTCATGACCTTGTATACACTTTTAATCTCTATTTTTTTCTTATAAAATTCTAAATGTGTACCTTTGTGCATTTCAAAACATCAAGAAGTGGAATTAATAACAATTTGACATTATATATTTCATGTTTAAGATGTTCTTTCATCCTACCTGTTGGGATTCTAATGTTTATGTTGGACAGTGTAGCTAAACCACTTCCCCATGAAAAGTATCCATTAGTCACCTACAAAACAATTACCACAAATCAGACATTTAAACACAGGAGGGGAAAAATTAGAATTATTCATTTAGATTTAAAATACCTTCATAAAATAAATCTGTGATTACTATACACAGTGTAGTATGGTTGTACACACAGAGAAAAAAGCAAGCTAAGTTTTAAAGATTGCTAAATCCCAAAAAATTGTGAATAAGGAAAGATAAATACACAAATGTACATAATGTTTGTAAGGCAAGAAAGGGATGCTCTTGAGCTGAGCTCTATTTACCAAATACTTTCATTCTGTCAAATATGAGACTAAAGACTTGGGCATTAGATTCATGATGCCTCTTTGTTTCCTGAGAAGACACGAAATAACTGTAAATACTGGTCTGAAACTCACTCTTCTCCCTGAAAATTTTACTAAAGTGCTAACTTATTTTAGGGCTTGCTCTTGTCATGGAAAATTTGAAATAACAGCAGCAATTGAGCACCATCAGGTGCTGTTGCAGGAGAACCTGCTCCCTATTTTCATGAGGGAAAACATTTTCCAAAGCACCTTAATGGCCACATCATCGATCTCCACGGGCCGTGTCTGCTTCCTTGCTGGCTGCTCGTAGCTCTCAAGCTGATACCTCAGGGGCTGCCTCCTGTTGATGGCCTTGGTGTGCTGCACAGAGAGAAGTGAAAACAGGAGAAAAGTTGGAATCCTCACGAGGAGACAGCAGTTGGTGCCCTGTAAAGCAAACAATCCATTCCCTTTCCTACCACCATTCCAGCTCAGGAGAAGCAGCCAGTGCTTTTCAATGTGTGATAATACAGATACACCACTGTCATGCACACATTTTAAATGTTTTAAACATTCTTAACTGAAGCACAGAATATTTTGGGACTTTTTGCTTCCCAAGCATAACCATCCCAAATTTCATCTCTACCATCCTTCTCAAACCCTCTCCCCTCATCTACAGTCTCTGTAGGACTAAGCAAAAGGTGGACAGGACAAATAAAATAAAAGCTGAAACAATCTCTTTTTTATTTATTTTGTTATCATTGTTAGCCCAGAAAAACAGGAAGGGTGTTGTTTCAGGTTGGAAAGCTAAAATAATGTTTTGTGCTAATCCTTTCTTTCTGTTGCTGCAAGTTTCAGTCACATTTCAAATTGTACATCAGTTTGAAACTGTTAAAATATATAGCTTTAGAAAAATGTCAAAATTAAAAAAAATACCTTTTCCCAAATCATCTTTATTGTGGTTTTTTGTCCTCAGATTTTACTCAAATTCACTCTATGCTTAGTACTTCAGAAACAGCATTTTGGAACTAATTCCTATTTCACAAAGTTTGGTATTGCTTTTTTCACCTTTAATTCTGAATTTCCCAAAGCAGGAATTCTTCCTCCCTAAGGATGTCCAGTATAAGATAGATTGTACAGGCAATATACAGAACAAATCCCATAACCACAAATCCACCTGGGCCTTCTATAAAAAGGAAGAAGGTTGGATTTTAGGTGTATTTAAATATGTTGGCGTATTATGGTTGGTTTAAGTTGGGTTTTTTTAACTATTGACACTTCAGCAGTGCTTAAGTGTGTTTGGGGACCCTTTACGTCATAAAAACACACAGGTTAGGACATAAAAGAGGCAGAACTGGTCAATATTAGAGCCAAGCTAGAAATCAAAGCTCCCAGGCTCTGTCAGCTTGGCCACTGGCCTTGTAAGGGGCTGTATGGCCTCTCTGCTTTGAAATTCAGTGTCATAAAGCAGAACTTACAAGTCCCGTGTGCTTCTTACAGGATTCATAAGGTACAGAGCTGTCCCCCCCTCTCCAGCTGTCATCTCCAATCTCATCACTCAGGAGAAACTCATTCAGCTTCTGTACACTTGAAAGAAAGCAGGACAGTGAGTTACATAAACCCAGGTTTCCACGAATACATTTCCTTTTTTGTGCAGTCACGCCAGCAGGATTTATCAGAAATGTTCCAAAAGAAGTTCATGATATACTTTCATCTGCCACCCTGATGGCAAATGAAGATTTATGTGTGTGGAAGGACAGATGAAAATAATTAAGCATTGTACTGGTAGCTGGGAACGAAGAGCAGAGCAAGTCATGAGGGTGCCAAGGGAGCTCCGTGGGAATGGTTTCCCTCTTGGCAGGCTCATCTCTGCTGTGCCTTTCTCAGGCTGGTGCAGCCAGGGTGCAGAAATAGGTCATTCACCTACCTCCATCCTCTGGAAATGACAGGGCAGCGGGCACATCCTGACACAGCTTTTGCATCATATTAATAAAAGACATTAAAGCTATTAGAGGCTGTCCAAAGGAGGTCATGAGGATGGTGAAGGGTCTGGAGGGGAAACCACATGAGGGACAGTTGAGATCACCCGCCTTTTTCAGCCTGAAGAAGAGGAGACTGAGGTGACACCTCACAGCAGTTCTGCAGCTTCCTCACCAGGGGAAGTGAAAGGGCCACTACTGATCTCTGGTCTGTGTGACCAGTGACAGGACTCAAGGAAACAACATGTGTCAGGGGACGTTTAGGTTGGATACCAGGAAGAAGTGCTTCACCCAGAGGGTGGTCAGACACTGGAACAGGTTCCCCAGGGAACTGTTCACAGCTGCAAGGCTGACAGAGTGCAAGGAGCATTTGAACAGTGCTCTGAGGCACAGGGTGGAATTCTGTGGTGTTCTGTGCAGGGCCAGGAGGTGAACTCGATGATCCTGGTATGTCCCTTCCAGCTCAGCATATTCTGGGATTCCATGGTTCTATGCACTGCATGTACACAGGGGCTGGGTACTGCACACCTCAGCATAGCCATGACCAGCTCTGGAGACACACAGAAACTCTTTACCTAGCTCTTAAAATTGTCCACTGAGAAATACAGTGCACAGGTTCAATTAATTCTTCATCACAGGAGGATTTGATCCTCTCTTTGTCCCCCTTCCTTTCAGAGTGCCATAAGCACCTGGGTCTTTATCATTCCAGGGAAGGGATGAACAAAATCACACACCAGTCATGGTGAAGCTATTACCTTGCAAAAACTAAAATCAAGGTGCATTGGGCCAGAGACTGAGAAAGCAGAAGGACATATGCCTTCAGATCAGTGATTTGGACATTAATCTGCAAATGGGAAAGTAGTCCATCTCAAAGCCTGTGTATTTTGTATTAAATTATTAATACACCTTCAAGCCACAGAGAGACGGGTTAGCAAGAAAGCACTGCTATTGTAATTATTTCCTCCTGCCAGCATGCCTGTTCCTATCTTCTCTCTTAAATAGAAAATTTATGTGCCCCATAAATTCTGATATGTTTCCACATCAGAATTTCAGTCTTATATAAGGGGCTAAGCAAGAATTTATTTTCTTGTAGAAGATACAAGACCTTGTTTTGGTCATGCATCTAAAATAACACCAACCTTTATTTGGCATTTGAATGAGGTATCCTCAGAAGTTTTATTGGCACTAGAACTACTCTTGAACAGAAAATTGAAATTCTGACCAAAGTATAAGCTCTTAATCACAAAAATAATAAGCATATACTCGTGTATGTATTTGACTGAGGATAGAGCCATTGAGTGGCCAAACATACATTCTTTATCCTTCACTTGGGGGATGTGATGTTCATGGGAGAAAGATGTTAGGAAATGAGTTTGACAAAGGATGCAGTTTGTTTTGGCAAATCTGGTCTTTAAATATTGCCCTGAGGGGTGGCCAGCAGCATTAAAGAAAATGTACACACCATTTTGATATTAGGGGCATGCTAAACATAGTACAGAGATGTAGAAGCTTGGATGATTTATAGAGGAGCTTGGAGATTTTCCACTACTCAGAAATCATTTTCAACCTAGGGAAAATGTCTCATGTGGCCCTGCTCCTGCCGCTGCTTTGACAAAAATAAACTCTGTTTAATTATTTTTGTTTTTTAAAGTCAGTGTGGTGCTGGCAAATAACAGCTGTGGAGCCTGAAGTCCCCTTGACTGCAATTTGGTGTTACCATTACCTACCAAAACTAGGCAGTGACAGCAGCAATGCAGTATTTTACCAATGTGCCTCAGCCTTGGCATGAAAGAATGACGTTTCTGGGTGGGAAGGTCAGTTCTGTCTTCACATCCTGCTAGTGCTTGGCATCTGACACTCTACTGTCAGCCAGGTGTCACTTTGCACCTCTTGGGACATCTTGGCAGTGTGTAGGTCTGCATAACCACCCTATGGCTGTGACTCTGTCCATACAGGCCACTGACACAACACCCAAAAGCCTGAAATTTGACTTATACCTATCTGCTCCTTCAAGATTAAGTGCTCTATAGCCCAGCATGAAGGAAGCTGCTCTGTTGGGCTGTTTTATGGATATAAATACCTGGAACAGGATGCAGGACATCGTTAAATTCTCTCTTATAGCCTAATGCACTTTTTGTGGAGGTAGGGCTAAGCCAGTTATTCTTCCTTGCTTCAGCAGGGTGGTCTTGCTAGAGAGCTTCACACCATGGTCTCTCACCCCCTCAGTGCTGACAAGAGGCCAGAGAGTGCAAGGGAAGAGCAGTGGTGGGTGGCCACAGTGTGAGAGGAGCAGCATCTCTCAAGGAAGGACAGTGCAGCTCTGAATCCAAGGTGCCAAAGTTCGTGAAATTGTAAAAAGAATGGAGCATTAGGAATCATAGAATCACAGAATGGCATAGGTTGGAAGGAATCTCAAAGACCACCTCATTGCCATGGGCAGGGACACCTTCCACAGCTTGCTCAGAGCCCCATCCAACCTGGCCTGGAACACTGCCAGGGATCCAGGGGAAGCCACAGCTTCTCTGGGAAACCTGTGTCAGGGCCTCACCATCCTCACAGGGAACAATTTCTTCCTCATATTCAAGCAAAACCTGCTCTGTGTCAGTATGAAGCCATTGCCCCTTGTCCTGTCACTCCAGGCCCTTGTCAAGAGTCTCTCTCCATCTTTCCCGTGGGCTCCCTTCAGGCACTGGAAGGCCACAGTGAGGTCATCCCAAAGCCTTCTCCTCTCCAGGCTGAACAATCCCAATTCCCTGAGCCTTTCCTCCCAGCAGAGCTGCTCCATCCCTCTGATCCCTTGGTGTCCCTGCTCTGTCGTGGCTCCAGCAGCTCCCTGTCCTTGCTGTGCTGTGTTTCTTTGTGTCACGCAGTAAAAAGGAAACGTCACTCTCATTTCTCTCACATCTTTAGCATCCGAGTCCCACCTCACAACACTCTTACACATGAGCAGGTAGAAACAACATTTTCGGGTACTGAAACAGGAGTTAGAGAAAGGAGAAGGATCTCTTACCTCACGATGGCCTTGACTGCAAAACGAACCACTGTGGAGAGCAGGAACAGAGGTGTGACCAGGATGTG